GTAGTCGTAGTAGTAGTAGTAGTCGTAGTCGTAGTCGTAGTCGTAGTAGTAGTAGTAGTAGTAGTCGCAGTCGATCTTGTAGTCGTAGTCCTCGTCGTTGTCCTAGTCATAGTGGTGGTGGTAGTAGAAGTAGAAGTAGAAGTAGAAGTAGTAGTAGTCGTAGTCGTAGTCGTAGTGGTAGTGGTAGTGGTAGTGGTGGTGGTAGTAGCAGTAGTAGTAGTAGTGGTAGTGGTAGTGGTAGTAGTAGTAGTTGTTGTAGTTAGTAGTAGTTAGTAGTAGTTAGTAGTAGTTAGTAGTAGTTAGTAGTAGTTAGTAGTAGTAGTAGTAGTAGTAGTAGTAGTAGTAGTAGTAGTAGTAGTAGTAGTAGTAGTAGTAGTAGTAGTAGTAGTAGTAGTAGTAGTAGTAGTAGTAGTAGTAGTTAGTAGTAGTTAGTAGTAGTTAGTAGTAGTTAGTAGTAGTTAGTAGTAGGTAGTAGGTAGTAGGTAGTAGGTAGTAGGTAGTAGGTAGTAGGTAGTAGGTGGTAGTAGTAGTAGTAGTAGTTATAGTAGTAGTTAGTAGTAGTTAGTAGTAGTTAGTAGTAGTTAGTAGTAGTTAGTAGTAGTTAGTAGTAGTTAGTAGTAGTTCGTAGTTAGTAGTAGTTAGTAGTAGTTCGTAGTTAGTAGTTAGTAGTAGTTCGTAGTTCGTAGTTCGTAGTTCGTAGTTCGTAGTTAGTAGGTAGTAGTAGTAGTAGTAGTAGTAGTAACTAGTAGTAGTAGTTGTTGTTAGGTTCGTAGTTCGTAGTTAGTAGTTAGTAGTAAGTAGTAAGCAGTAAGAGTAGTAATAGTGTAGTAAGAGTAGTAAGTAGTAAGTGTAGGGTGAGAGTATCCCGGTTTCAGAACTATCCTTGTACTGCGTGACAATAGGCCTTGTCAGAGCTTGAGATAACTAACAGATGTGAAGAGCAGTCAGTTGTGGCTCTCAACAACCTTGTGCGCCAAGAACTTTTTCTGTGACAGGTGCATTTCCGTGTACTTTCTGCTTTTGAAACAGACCTTTAGATTTAATTGGTATATTCTTTTGCTTTTTGCGCTTGTTATGTTGGTATGTCCACTGTTACAGACAGTTTCGAGACAAACGTGCATGCTTTTTGAAAAAAGGGTCTACAGACAAGACTGAAAGCCTTCCCAGGTGTCTCCGAGATATTGCCCAGTCCTCGAGAACATGGCAACGTTGTCGACCCACGCGTTGACAACCGTGTCGATAAGTGCTGCTGTTTTTTGCGCAACGTGTTTTTGTTATAGAAACACAATTGAAACGTAATTGTTGAGTTTCAGTGGGCTCTCGAGGGAACTACTGCTTTTTCAACAAGACTTGTACTTGCCAGCAATTGTTTTTTTTTTTTTTTTAAATTTGTAGAAATTCTATTCCATGCCTGAGTTCGATGCTCTGCCTCTGGAAGTTATGCAATTGAATCAACAGCCTTTTGGAATGTTTTTTGTTTCCCCTTCTTCACTCTCTTATTCTCATAGCAAAACATGCCTGCGACGAGAATCATAACCTTTTTGGCTAAGCTCTCGGACGTCATCGATGACCCTGTGGGCCGGCAGCGCGGACAACTCTCCAGACGGCGATGGTGAGCGTTCTGACAGAGTTATCGTATTGGATGAGACATGTGTTTGGAAGCAAAGATAGAGATAAATACATATCTATTGGACCAAAAATGACTTAATTGCTCGATAGATCAGTTTTTCGTTTGTTATGGTTTGTGGGAAGAATTGGGCGACATTTGTCAATTGACTCAATTGATGGTGGAAAGGGAGACAAACTTTTGAGTCGCTTGACTATGGTGAGTGTGAGGTACATTTGCGTGGAGGTGATGCGGCTGATTTGTGGCCAGGAACACAGTGTGAACACACAGTGGCACATCAAATGAACACAGATTGATCTAAAAATTATTTGAAGGCAGTGCTTTCACATTCTTTTGCAAGTTTCTGCCTGAAGTCAAAGGCGGTCAAGACCAAAGTGTTTATGGATGTGTACACGGTACATAGATTACACTAATACATACCATGACACTACGTGCCATTACATTACATTTCATTACATACCATACCATACAGAAAGAGAGAGAGAGAGAGAGAGATCGATCGTGTCAGCAGGGCGATTCACAGGCGATTTTAGCAGCAAAAGGCGATGCAAAAGGCCATGCGATTCTTCAGTCCTGGCCACCCATGGCCGTTCTGCACGTTGCTATTAGAAAGAAGCCACTAGACGTGACATACCAAAAAATAATCACATAAACTTATTGTTTCTAATAGCTTCTTGTTACTACTAGTAAGGCACTTGCTCCTAGTAGCGATGCACTTGTTCCTAGTAGCTTATTGTACAACAGACTTTAAAGGGCCTTGGATGTTCTTGCGTCAAGACGGACACTTCTGAGAGTTGGACGGAACCTCTTCGGAGACCTCTAGTGCATCGCTTCTAGTAACAAGTGCCTTACTAGTAGTAACAAGAAGCTACTAGGAACAAGTGCATCGCTACTAGTAACAAGTGCTCTTTGGAAACGTCTCGAGGTGCCAATTCCTTGGACTGCACTGCCCTGGACAAACCCGATGTGCCACCGCTGGACACCGGGCGCAGTGCGACCCGATAGGCGAAAGGAACCTAATGGCTTCCTGGCCTTACTACTAGGAGCCCCTAGTAGCGTCCTTTGCTCCTAGTAGCGATGCCAGGAGCCCCTAGTAGCTTCTTGCTCCTAGTCGCGATGCCCTTTGCTCCTAGTAGCGTCCTGGCTCCTAGTAGTAAGGCCAGGAGCCCCTAGTAGCTCCTTTTGCATCATTGGTCCTTTTTTCCCGAATGCGTAGCGAAGGGTTCCCGTTTATAGTTGGTCGTCGTCTGTCGTCGTCTGTCGTCGTCTGTCGTCTTCGTGTCGTCGTCGTCGTCGCGTCTCAAATTTGCTGCCATTGGGGGAAGCTTTTGCAAGTGACTTTGCATGGATGTGTCGCGTGTCAGTTTGCACCGCTATTCCATTGTGATTTGCGTGACACGGACATGTCGCGCAAGAAACGTGATGCACCTCGCTGCACAGGCGCAGCGTTTTGTGAGATCCGCAGATTGCTGCGCAGTTCCATTGGGATTAGCGTTTGGAGAGTCGTGTTTTTGGGGTGTTGGATGTGGCCGTGCCATTGGGATTTGCGTTTCAGGGTGTGGCATCGAAGCTCTGTTTTCGTGACAAGTCTCAGCTGAAATGGCGATTTTGGTGGATGGGAGTGTGCTCTGAACGGGTCGAAATCATTCCAAACGTGTGGTGTGGTGCAAATTTTGGATAGTTCCTCCAGTTTTGTCCTCCACAAATCGTGGGGGGGCGGGGTGAACCCCCCCCCCCCCGGGGGCTTGGTTGGTTGGTGGAGAAGGTGGTTTGCCGCAGGGGGTTCACCTTAAAATGTGATTTCGTGGCAGGCGCG